AAGGAAGACTCCGAGAGGATGAATGCTTTTCTCAAATCCTTGACAGCAAATGAGACTCCTTAGACTTCCAGTCCAGTGCTCTTGGGTCCTCCAGAGAATGAGGCCTGCATGCTGAGATACTGGTATATAAGCAAGTGGTGTAATTTCTTAGGGGCCAATTCCCAGCCAGCTTCCAACCACTATGGGCATTAAATGAACGGTTTGCCTCCCTATCACTTACCCTGCAAGCGAAGAGCACACTAGCACAGATGTTGCCCAATCACTCAGGGGCTTCCTGGCCTACAAGACAATGGGGCCTGTGCTGGCACTTCTGAGTGTCCACATCTGACAACCTGTACCTATTCATAAAGGAAATCTGGAGATGAGAGTGACCATCCCACTGATTTACATACATGCCTTAATCATTCTCAGGGGGCTGTCATTAACATTATCTAATCAGACCATCACAACTTTCCAAGAAAAGCCAAAGACATTGGCATTGAGTCGATTCCAATTCATGACGACCCCATGTGTTACAGACGAGAAATGCTCCAGAGGGTCTTCTTGGCTGTCATCTTTATAGAAGTAGACTGCAGGCCTTCCTTTAGCAGTGATGCTTGGTGAGTTTGAACCGCCAACCTTTAGGTTAAGTATCAGCAAACCCTAGAGACCTAGAGCAACTCTAGTGATCCATCCAACTCTACTTTTTTAGGATTTCTGGGTTTCCAGTGTTAAATCTGCTCAAACAAAACAGTCCCAGGAAGGGACTGCATCTTAAGCTTTTATTGACTAACACCTTAGCAGCAGCTGCCAGCTGGCGGACAATTCACCAATGAGCAGTGGAGAGCAGATTGGGAGGTGTTAGAAGGAGGGTAATAGGGAAAGAGGCAAAGGAAGATGCCTCTCCCAGTAGTCTACCTCACAGTTTTCCAGAAAGAGATTCCGGGAGAACCAAGCACTGCTTGCCCCTACCAGAGACACCCAGCTTTAACCACTAAGGAGCCTAAGGTGAAAGGGAAAAGGAGAGGAGAAACAACAGTGGAGGGAGGAAAAGGACGGAATAAACCAATCATCAGAGATTCTTCGATCGTAATCCATTTTATTCTATAAAATACTACTTAACTGAAAGTGGAAAAGCTAACGAAAAAAGAATAGAAAAAAAAAAATGCAGGGGAGAAAAAAAACGTTTTAATATGTTCTTTCTTCCATAGCAGCAATCTTTTTCTAACAAGCTTTCTTTAGTGCAAATACTGTAGGCTTGTATTACATCAAACAACAAAATCAACAACAACAACACACCACCAGCGATGCTTCTGAGAAGGGACATTCCTCAATTTTCAAAACTATACAAAGATTTCTGAGCTCACGGTCCTGCCTTGAGAGGCCCACTTAAGGAGCCTCCCCATGGGACCATTCCACTGTTACTTAAAAAAAAAAAAAAAGTGCTCAAGAAGATAATTAAATTCCTCTTAGAGCTATATGAATCTTGTACAACTTGCTTGCCTCCTGGGTCTTATAGCAGACTTCAGTCCACATCACTGACATACCTCAGATACAGATACACAAGGCATATGATTTTCCACTATATACCAAAATACTATATATACATCTCCCACCACAGAAAACACCACCCTGATACCTAACCTCTATACAAAGTTGAATATTTTCTTCCTCAACATCAAGTAACCACAAACTAAAATAAATGGAAGAAACGTTTAATCATACAGAGAAAACAATTTTTGGAGGAACAGGGCAGAACATGAAAGTGTTCTCTCACCATGCACACTTCTTGGTGGCCACTGTCCCCAGAATGACAATCCATCTTTAAAAACAGAAACTTTTTATACAGTTTATACAGCATGAGTCACAAATCATTTTAGAAACAAACAAAAAACATCATTAGATGAAAAATTTTAAAATAAAGAAGGAAGAGAGGAGCTAAGTATTTTAATGCTATCTGTTTCTATTCAGGCTTGGTACAGCACAAAGAAGATGTAAACATTTAAAATAAATAATAAAATAAATGTCAATCTCTTCTCCCCCGACCCTTTCCATGCCCCCCTCAAAGTCTGGCCCAGCCCCCTCCTGAATATGTCAGCCTGAGGAATGCAAACGCTTTGTTGACACATGGCCAAAACACTAGAAGCATGAGAAGTCAAATTAGGAGACGGATGACTGGGCTCCCTTTTTAAAAAGCTGTAGGGCTGGGACACCCCTGGAAATGCACACACACGCACACACGCATACACACACCAATCTTTCAATAAATAGCGAGATGCTAGCTTTTAAGATGAAGTGCCAAGAAGACTTAACAAGCAGAAAGTATGAAGACCCCTCTACTTCAGTTAAAAACAAAAACAAAAAACAAACTTCTACACACCACACATTCTGTTGGTCCATGAATCCTATAAGGGATTCAAGTTACCCCTCCTACCACCTGTGGAGTGCAAAGGAATACAGGGATCAGAGGGAGAAGTTTGGAGGTGGGAGGATATTGGAGGGGATGGATCTTTGAGACCAAACCTCAGTTTGAAGGAGATCTTGCCTCAGAGAAGAGAACTTGAAAAAAACCTTCTCATCTCCATGTGTTTTTGTAATTGTTCCTTAATTCCTTTTAACCCTTTTAACCCTCAATCTCCTCCTAAGGATGGTATGTGAGGGGGCTTCAAACGTTCGTGGAAAAAATGGAATTAAAAGGTAATGGAATTTTTCTGTGAATTTTTTAAGCCCCCTTGTATAAAAGTGCCTAACACAGTGCCTGGCACATGGTAGGTGCTTATTCTATTCCTTCCTCAACGGGAAATGCAGTTGTCTGATCAGGGAAGGAAATCAACCTAAAAGGTAAATGATGAGATTGCAGAAACACTGTTGGTCCATCAAGAAAAAGGGGAGAAAGGTCTCATTGTTCCAGAGTTCAACCCATCAGAGACAAGACTCCTCCCCCCAGAGCTCTTGTGAGAGCAGCCGCCACCTCTGAAGGTTGTGTCTCTGCTGTGAGCACACCTCACCGTCTGCACAGACAAAATAGGGTCTGACTCTTTCTGAAAACCTCTCCAGTGAAGTCTCTGCTTGGAGTTGGCTCCAGCAATTTCTCCTGGGATTTCCTCCCCTTCTTTTGTGTCTCCCTCCCAGCTGAGAAAGGACTGTTCTCAGAGAGGCCAGCCAGGTAGCCAAAGAGAAACTGTGTGTTTCACACAAGCCCATCAAGGAGTGTCTGCCCCGTGCCAGCCCAGAACTACCTGCAGCCCAACTGGAGTCCTCATAACTGGGGACACAGTAGCAGCATAGCAGTCCCAACCCAAGCTCAAATGCACACTTACTCCAGCTGCTTCCTGAGATGGAGCCACAAAGGAGGCAGCAGCAGGCCTGGTGTCTGGTGATTCTGGAGTAGGGGTGCGGGTGTGCTTGAATTTGTTGAGTTTACCAGAAGGGAGTACGCTGAAGATATGCTCATGACTTGGATGTCAATTCAGTCTTCTACAAATGACTCCTGACTGAGAAATCCCTCCTCACACAAAGTCAGAGAGGGCTGATGGGAAGGCAACTCAGAGGTCTCTGACAGCCTCGTGGGTGGGCTGGGTTTTGCCTTCTACTGATCCCAAAGCGAACACACCTGAACTGAAGCTAAACTCTTGTCTCAGGAAAGTTCAGCCTGATCCCAAGTCTGTGACCAACCTTAGTATCATGCTGCAAAGTAGGGTGCAAAGAGACCTTTAGAAATAAAAGACCAGAAAGCAGCTTCATTTAAGAAATGTACGGAGCTCTGGTAGCGTAGTGGTTACGAATCGGGCTGTGAACCTTAAGGTCAGTGGTTCGAAACTACCAGCTGCTCCGCGGGAGAAAGATGAGGCTTTCTACTCCCGTAAAGATTTACACCCTCGGAAACCCTGTACAGGGTCGCTATGGGTCGGAATTGACTCGACGGCACTTAACAACAACAACAACAATGCACAAAGACGCAAACAGCTCTCACTTGGCTACAAATACTACTTGAGATGATGAAGACTTTCAGAACTGAGGGCACTCCCGTTTTCTTTCCCTGCCTCTGATACTCCTGGCTGGTTACTGCTTACTTGCTTAATCTGAAGCCAAATACCCAACTGCCCAGTCTCATTAGGGGCACTCCTCCCAGACCACAAGAAGGGCACCACAATCGAGGAAGGTGGGAATTATATTTTTTAACCTTTTTGAACCAAATCCTTTCTTTAAAAAGATCTCCTCCCTCTGCAATCCTTCCACATATTCTACTCGGTTGTCCTGGGATGTGTATTGAAGTCCTTAGGCTGTTCCATCTCTGTGTTTAGTGTACAGTGCGTGGTAACGTGCATTAAATAATGACACCACACAAGGCTCCCTGTGGAAGGGGAGCAGCCGAGCAAGGGTTTTGCTGTTCACTCCAGAGTCTAATTTTATAATTTAATCCTCCCTGGGTTTTATTTAAATACATATATAGTTTTAAATTATCATACAATCACCTCTAGAGCTGAATCACCAATAGCAGACTCTGCCTCAGAACAGCAGCCCAGCAAAGGCCAATTTCAACCAGCGCAGACAAGAAGGTCAGCAGGAGCTGTGCCCTGTTCTCTTCGGCCCTGCTGTGGGAAGGGGCAGATCCCTGCAGTGGGAAGCAACACAGCTCGTCTCAGATCTCAGCAGCTGGGAAAGGTTCCACATTGACAACCAGGGATCCAGCATAAGCCATAGCAACAGCTCTGGGCCAGCTGTTCACAACTCACTGACTGGACCAGAAGAGAAGACTGATGGTGAGGAGGCAAAGAAGAGAGGAATCACAAAAAGAAAGCACTGGCTCTCTCAGATGACCACGGAGCTCAGAAAGGGCCTAGTGCCTGCCTCAATGAGACCAATGAACAGCCAGGGCAGGGAAAGCCAGGGGCTAGGGCAGTGGCTGAGACAGAGTTCAGACGTGTGCTCTAGTGCCTGCCTCAATGAGACCAATGAACAGCCAGGGCAGGGAAAGCCAGGGGCTAGGGCAGTGGCTGAGACAATCACTACTCCAAACACCTGCCTCCCTCCCTGCTTTTTCTATCCACAGTAAATGCTCCTTTGAGGCTTGGGGAGGGGCCACCCAGCAGCAATGTGAGGAGGGTCCAGGCCCACGCTCATTAAACCTCTGTGGGTGGCGTCACCCCGAGAGCCAGGGACGGGCAAGGGCAGAGACTTGGAGCCATGTGTGGTTCCTAGGGAGGGACGCCTCCCTGGTCTGGAAAGAAGGGTCCAGGTGAGAAATGGAGAGGCAGTAATTACAGGAGACGCCCTGCTCAGCTCAAGACACCTGGTGAAGGGAAGCTGGCTAGCACACCGTGTGGCTTTGTTGGCACTATTCCTGACCTGGTAATTAGGCGTTTGGCAAACCCAACCTGTGCCCTGACTGTCTCACTCACACCCTATCTTCTGGCCAAGCCACTCCACCAAGAGTTGTCTCTAAGGATGGAGAGGAATGGTCCTTGGAGCCTCACAGTGATGGTGGCATCTATGTGTGAGCTCAGGGAGCCCTATTGGTGGTTCTGGAGATGGTGGTGGACCAGTGTTAGGGGAGTGAATGTTCTGTATTGCACATTGACTGTCCCATCTGGACAAGTCAGCCCCCGCAGAAGAGTCACCTGCTGTCCCAGCTCCAGAAATGAAGAGCTTTAATATTCAGACCACCCAGATGAAATGTCATGGCAAATTTGATAATAACCAAGAAGGAGTAAGATTGACACTGGAGCAAGGAAAGGGCCATGAGACGGAAGGTGGAACCAAAAGGCACTGAGCATGCTGGGTGGGGATGGGAAGGGCACCATCACTCCAGAGACAACATTGTAACAAAGAGACAGGTATGGTCCAGACCAGCTTCAGGATCTTCAGAAACCAGAGAGATGTCTGAGTCTACTAAACCAAGTTCTCCAAGGCTTTTCAAGAAACAGGATTTGCTTGCAAGATGAATGATGAGGGAAGAGGTCCCATGATTTCCAAGAGATCATCCCAAGGTCCTTCAACGCCTCATGGCCAAATCCCAGCGGGGTCTCCCCAGAGCCGGGAAGCTCTTCGGCAGGCTGTTAACCCTCACAGCCCTGGAGTGCTCGAAGGTGCTAGTCCCTGGGAAGGAGGCAGTGATGAGGCCCCCTTCCGGAGCTAGGGAGGAGAGATCCACTGGGTTACAGAGCCAGCAGAGTCGGGGAGTTCAAGGAGTCTGATGACTGGTCCCCACTGCTACTGCTTCTGCGATGGGCCTTGGAGCAGGACTCAGAGGGCGACGCTGGGGACTCCTGCTCCAGGACGCTGGGGTAGGTGAAGACGAGGTTCGAAGTGCCTGGCGTGATGGCGGGTGTGGAGGTCACCACGATGGGGGTGTGGAGAGGCTCCTCCCCATAGAAGCCCCCCGCAATGCTGATGGGCTTGATGACGGAGCGCTGGGCCTTGTCCAGCCCTGCTGATGAGGACGAGGGGCTGTCGTCTTCCAAGGGCTCCTGTTTCACCACCACAGCACCCACTCCACCGCCCCCACTGCGCAAGCCCTGCAGCCCAGGGACTGGGGGAGATCGGCGCTCCTCGGGGCTGATCTTGCACACCGGCCCATGGGCCACCAGCATGAACTCTAGCTTCTCCTTCTCCTTCTGCAGCTCGGCAATCTCCTTCTGCAGGCCAGATTTCTCTTCTTCCAGCTCCTCAGTCTCCTGTAGGGGAAGAGGGGAATGTGAGAGAGAACAACATGCCAGGAAGCTGCCGCTGGAGATGCGGGAAGATGAGCCATGTTCTCAGAGGGCCCTGGGAGTATCTGCTCCCACAGCTGACCTCAGACACCCGCTTCTGAGTCCCCTGGAGGCTAGAGATTCCTTGTATCTCTAAGGTTCAGGGCTGAGATAGGAGGACACTCTGTTTGGATGAGGGGTGCACAACAACTGCAGCTGCCCTGGTTGAGCACTTATTTTGCGCTGGGAACTGTGTTAAACATGTCATAGGCATTAACTCATTCAATCCCCATTTTGCAGATGAGAAAACTGAGGTTTAGAAAGGTTTAGTAATGTGCCGAAACTCACAGAGCAAACAGGTAGGGTTGTCTACATTTGAGCCCCAAAGTATCTGACTCCAGAGTTTGCACTCTGCTTTGCTCTCCTGCCTGCCCTGTGGGTGCCACCAAAACCCAAACCAAACCTCCTGCCATTGAGTCAATTCTGACTCATAGTGACCCGATAGGACAGAACAGAATTGTTCCTTAGTGTTTCTGAGACCGTAAATCTTTATAGGAGCACACTGCTTCATCTGGTGGATTCTCACCTTACTATTAGCAGTCCAATGTCTAACCCCAGTGCCACTACGGCTCCCTGGATGCCCCCAAGGGGGGTAATTAGTAGGAAGATTAGCCTGGAGAAGAGGGCACAACATGCAGCTTTTTGTTTTTCCTACCTCCTCAACCCCATGCCAGCCCTCTGTGGACACATAGACACAACAGTTCGAGCTCCATGAAAGCAGAGATCCAGTCTGAGACACTCCTGTGGCCAGCACAGAATAACTGCTCAGTGAGTACTTGGACTATTACACATGCCCCTCCATCTATCCTTTTTAGCTCACATTTCTGAAGAATGTGTTTCAGGACTCTCAGGACCCTTGCAGAACATTCAGTTCAGCCCCCTTGCTGGACAGATGTGGAAACTGACAGTCTGGGAGGGCACATGAGGATGCCAGGACCACAGCCAACACCACAGCTCCCCCCAACCCTGCCCCCATGCAAAGCCCCAGAAGCGAGCGCATGCATGTGGAGGGAACAGTGTGGAAGAGGAAAAGACGTCACCAGCCTCCTCCCCACTTTTCCCCCAACACGGATTCCCGTTTAGGAACACAGAATTATGGGGCAAGAGTTTCTCTAGGAGGAATACAGCATATATCACAGTGAAAAATAATTTCCATCTGTCTCAAGGGTCTGATGAACGTCATGAGCTATGAGAGGTTTCCTGTGGAGGATGTGGCTCAGGGGCCTGGGTGGCTGGGACAGGGTGCGGGGGAGGCGGGGGAGTAGGATGTGAGGTTTCTGGGAGGAGGGGCAGAAAGCAGAAGAGCTTGGGAGGCCTGGGGGCTATCCTGGTAAAGAGCCCTCAGAGCAGACACCGAGGACATGACTCTTAGATGCAGCAGAGTGGAAGACAGGAATGTCATCCTAAGAACCATTGACAGTCTCTTCCATCTCCTGGCTTTGAGAACATTCCACCCAGGGGAGTCAGTCATGGCTCCAGGCTTCCTCCCCATGGCATACAGCCCTTCTCAAAGGGCTAGGCTCTGCCAAGAGTTACGTGCCTTTGGTCATGTCTATCTTTCAAGGGGGCAGGACAGGGCTGTGGGCACCCAGGTTGGGATAATTAGGCAGCATGAGCATGAGACTCCCAAGGGCAGCATGGAGGTACCAAAGCTCCAGGTGCAGAGCAGAAGCAGGGAAACCTCCTGCCCATGCAGGAGCTGAGAAAACCCCAAGAAAACAAGCCTCAACTGACATGACCCTTCTCCATCAGGACCCAGGGAGCACCCAGACCTCTGTAGAGATTAAGGAGCTGAGGCCAGGTCTCTCCCAGCCCAAGGCAGAGCTACTAAGTCAGCCTGGAACTGCTCCTACCAGAAGACGGACGATAGCAGCAGGAACCTTGGCAGCAGCTCTGGAGGGGGCAGGTCTCCCAAGGACCAGGGAGGCTGACATTCAGTACCATCTCTCACCCAGGACCCCCAGCAGACCTGAGAGCAAAAACGGCTCCGACATTGAGTGCACAAAGGTGCCAGGCCCAAGAAGCTGCCTAGTTCTCTCTCTGGGCCAGGTTGGTGCCACAGGCCAGCGCCTTCTCTCTTTAGAGTCAGCACACTGCTAAGCCAAGTGTGCTCACGGAAGGAATAGTCCTGACACCACTGACAAAAAGGAGGTGTGAGGCCAGGAGCCCTGGGGCCCTCACAGGGACCCACCCAGAAGTGCCCCCACCCCACCCAGTCTCCTCACCGCCTGCAGCTTCTCCGTCAGTTCCCGGCGGCGATTCCGGCACTTGGCCGCAGCCAGCTTGTTCCTCTCCCTCCGGATTCGACGCTTCTCCTCCTCTTCAGGAGATAGCTAGAACCCAAGGTTGAGGAGCACGATTAGGTTGGGCCAAAACATTCATACGCATTTGTTTAGAAATATGCCCTATAAGTAGGGTTGTTGTTGTTGTTGTTAAGTGCCATCGAGTCGGTTCTGACCCATAGCGACCCTGAACAGGGAGCAGAAAGCCTCATCTTTCTCCCACGAAGCAGCTGGTAGTTTTGAACTGCTGACCTTGAGGTTCACAGCCCGATTTGTAACCACTACGCTTAAGAAGCCCTTTTGTAACTGGGGAGGAGAAGGTAGGAGGGCCAGTGGAGTGTGGCCTGGTCCAGGGCCCCAGGTCTTGCAGCCCACAAATGTTTAGCTGCCTGGGGACAGGGGTGGGGATGCTGTGAACTGAGCCTGCCCTGGAAAGGGATGGCTCTGTTGTAAGGGAAGACAGTGGGTCAGGGACTCACCAGGCCAGGCACGATTCAGTACCCAGGCCAGAGAGCTCAAGTGGAGAGAGCTTCCCCAAGAATCCCCTCATGCCAACCTGCCTGGCAACACCCATGGAGACAGCTTCTTCTAATTACTCTTCCCCATCACTCTGCCTGCTCTGCAAGCCTCATTATCCCTGTTTGGGTAAGTAGCTGGGCCTGGAGCCCCCACTCAGGTAAGAACTGCCAGCAGGTGACTGTTTCACAGTCAGTGCATCACTTCACTCCCAACTTCCTCTGCCAGTCTTGGAGTACCTGGTACTCACAGTCCATCCCAGAGGACAAACCTCAGATGACTAGCACAGTGCAAGGGTGGGCAAGATGGGCAAAAAGCAGGAGGAGCAATTAGGTACATCAAACCTTGCTGCCCACCATACCCATTCACTCATTCAACACATGAGAGGCTTCTGTGTGCCAGGCAAAGTTCAAGGGCCTTGGGTTCTATCTGTGTATTAACCAGCAAAGTCCCTCCTAGAGCTCACAGTCTAGCTCCCTCCAATGAGGATCCTTAAGGTACCTGCCAGTCTCACCCCCAACTCATACTCAGCTGACAGATAGCCACGAGAGCTGTGACCCCCAGAGATGGCTGTAAGCCAAAGGCGAAAGCAACCTAAAAGGGCAGGCAACTTACTCCTTTAGTTATCAGACATTCTCTGCTTGCTTACTATGTGCCAAGTGAAGTACTGGGGCCTTTAAAGGGACCAAGAAGAATAAGACCTGGGTCCTGCCCCCAAGGAACACATCGGGGGTGGGGAGAGCCAAGTCCCTCTGAGGGAACAGGAAGATGTCTGTCTGTCAGCTACTTCAGGAGAGAACGCGTCCCTCTCCTGGATGGCCAGGTCAGTCCCTGGGACTCGGTCTGAAGCCTAGAGATCTGTCACTGTGATGTCCCGAACAGAAACACAGCACCAGAGAGGGAAGCCCCAGGTCTGTCTGACCCTATAGCCTCAGGGTACCAGAGCTCCTGCACCTAATTCTCAGGAAAATGTGCCAGTGTTCTGTTCTTCCTTCCACATAAAGTGTCTGGTGTGTTCAAATGAGGCACAGTGTGGAAGCTTTCTCTACTCTAGAAAGTGCTAGAAAGCCATAGAGATTTCCTTTCTGCTGGTCTGAGGCCTGAAAGTATCTAAGTAGACTTGAGAACCAGTCAGCAGACTCATGCTCTGCCTTCCATGTGGGGGCAGGCTCCCTGGCCAAGGTTATGAGGCCACTGGCAGAGGCCCTGAATACTTGCTGCTCCTAAACTTGTCTGCACCTGTGCCCGACAGAGTTACCAAGAGAGCCTTGTGCCCCTGCTGCAATCCTGGATTCACGTTCACCCCTGAAAGGGCCAATGGGGCTCCAGTGAGGGTTCCAGCAAGCACCCCCTAAATCCCTCACTGGTAAAGGGCAGACAAGGGGGAGGACAGGGCTTCGTCCTTTTCAGCCTCTCTTCCCTCTTGGCTGCTTCTGAGTACCTTCTGCCTCCCAGCTGGCCTAGAAGTCTTTCCTCCTCCCACCCCCATCTGGCGAGGTGTGAGGCAACTTGTGGAGTTGTCAACATGGGAAGTATTCAGGGCGGTAAGATCAACATGGCTACAGCTTGAGTGCGTCAGCACACCAGGTACACACCCACAAGCTGTACACACCCTCCCCTCCCTGCCTCCTCAAAGGGAAGCTGGGTAGGCTCAGGAGGACAGCTAGGGCACCAGGCTGGTTCCCCATAAAGGCTCCACCCCCATGGGGGGAACAGAAGTAGGCTCCAGACAAAAAGGCCCTGGGACTAAAAAGCCAATAGCCAAAGCTCTAGACTTCTATGCTCAGGCTTTCTCAGAGCGGCTGGATGATCTGATCATCTGAACTCCTAGCTGATGTGGAATAAAACTGCTCTGTATTTTCTCCTCCCTCTCAAAGAAAAGGAAGGAAATTCTCCAGACAGATTGTCTTAGGGTACGCCTAGGTGGAGTGGTGGGAAAATCAGAGAGTTCACAGTAAAGGGGGTGGATTCTAGGCCTGGCTCAGCTACTAACTCACTGTGTCACCCTGGACGGGGCCCTTCTCTTTTCTGGGTCTCAGCCTCCTTATCTGTAAAATGGGTGCAAGAGGGAAGACTAGGAAAAATGATCTCCAAAGCCCCTTCCCAAAATTTAAACTTTTAAAGTTGGTGTGAGTTGGGTCCAGAAGATAGCGAAGTGTTGAGGACATCCTCAAAGACCTGGGTGACTCTCACTCAGGGGTCACTTCCATCCTGGAAGGATCCAGCTCATCAGTGGCTTTGCGCCTTGGACTCCCTAGAGGAAGCCTATTTGTAAATGGTATTATGATCACTACTACTGCAATATTTGTAACTGCAATTATAGAAAGCAACAGTGAGGGGGACATGGGTCAGAAACCCGGCAGCAGAAAACCAAGACATGACTGTGAATTGTATCCATTGCAGTATCTGTTACACAACCTCCGTCCCCCTGTACTGTGGGCCCATTATTAGCCGAACAAACCAACAAGGAGTGGACACAGGCCCAGCTTTGTCCTCAGAGGAGCACAGCTTCTGAGCATAACGTCCAATTCCAGGTTATTCTAAGTATCCTGAAAACTACAGGCTACTCACTGGGGAGCACGATTGGGTAGCGGATATGAAGGACCCTGAGAATCTGAGAGTGGGCGATGGACGGTGGATGAAATAGGGAACCGTTCCAATGCTGAAACGGGAGTAGTTCTCCATGTTAACATTTCATTTGAAAAATGAAAGGATTCCGCTGCTCAAGTATGTCCCCTCCATGGGCTCCAGGTGGCATTTACCACATGATGAGCCCTGCTCAGGGAATCCAGGAAGCTGGACATTCCCACTCACTTGCTGTGCAACCCCAGGCTGGTATGTCCGGACCTTAGCTATACTGTTTGTGAAAGGACAGATGGGATCTTTGAAAAACACATTCCCTTCTTGCTAGAAGTATGCACGATTATGATTTTCTGGGGCTGAGGGGCTCATGTTTGACACTTTTCATTCAGTCTCAGCATCTCATTCAACCTGGCTGGAGCGAAGCCAGGAAAAGGGGGGGGGGGGGCTCCGCATTTAGGCAGCATCTCCCCAATACTCAAAATGCAGAGGTACCCCATTTCCCAGCTTCCCTCCCAGCCAGGTTGACTCCCTCTCAAAGCTGAACCCCTTGAGGTAAAAAGGCTAATGTCTTACCTCCCAACCTCCCAAGTACCACCCAGAGTCACTGTACTTTTGCTACAGGTTGGAGCCTGGGACGCTCAGAAGGCATGGGAAGTAATTTGGGCAGTACCAGCTTAGAGTGTGACCCTTTCAGTCAGCTGGATATCTGCCTACACCAGATCCTGGGAGATAGCCAAGGAGGGAATCAATTGAGCCCCCAGACAGGGCTCCATGGCCACCTGTCCCATGTTGCAACGGCCACTGCTATAGGCCGGTTATAACCTGTCATTCCCAACTGTAACATCTGGCCACTTAAACATGCTTTCCCACACATGATCTCATTGAACTGCAATAAGTCTATCTGATGGGTACTATTACTGCCATTTTGCAAGGAGGAAACTGAGTTTCAGAGATTCTTAAGAAACATGCGTGAGATGGCCAAGCTAGACGTGACCCTTGGGTCTCCAGCTCTGCCTCCAATGATGAGGATGATGCGCTCCTGGTCCCCAGACTCACCTCTTCCCAGTCCTCCCAGAACCTTAACCTGTTCCCACCAGTCTGCAATCTGTGTGTATGAGGTCCCCAAAGACTCCCGGTGTGACCCATTATCACAGCCTGAGCTATACCTGCTCATCTCTCCTCCTGCGGCCCACGGTGGTGCCAATGGTCTTGATTACGCCAGGTCGTGGGAGGGCCATGTGCCCAGGGACAGAGGCCAGGCCCGGCAGGGGGCTGTAGGGGTGTGAGCGGGAGTACGGGCTGGACATGGAGGTTATCACTGTGGGCTGCACCATCCACTGCAGGTCCTGGCTGGTAGTGATGGCGTTGATGGTGGGGATGAAGGCACTGCCGGAACCAGGCATATCTACCCGGAATTTCTGAAATGAAAAGAAAAATACTACTGAGCTGTTACTGAGCAGAAGAGGACAAGCAGATGCAGGAGGTGAAACCAGCAGAACAAGCAGGGTCAGAGTTTGGATAGCAAAGTTAGGACACCAGGTGGACTTGTTTGCACACCCAAGACACAGGCAGCCTTCACACTCCTGGGGCCTCACATCAGCTCTGGCAGCTACTCTCGGCTCTCCGACTGAGGTCCTGGGAGCTCCAGCCCCAGGGCCTCAGGTAGATGGTATTGTATTCCAAACACCTTCCAGTTCCTAGCTGCTGCATTCAGCACACTCTCTCTGCAGCCCTCCCACCTGGATCCCCCCTTATCTTCTGAGTCACCCGTCAATTACTCCCCAGGGTGCTGTCTCAGGACACCTTGAGGAGACTTAAAGGCTAGCAACTCAGGAGCAAGAAAGATCACAAGGAAGCTCTGGTGCTAGCATCTGTCACTTTCCAAACAGTTTCAAAATGGGACTGAGACCCAGGAGAGAAATACCAGGTCCTTTCAGTGTCTTCCAACCCTTAAGACTGAGAAGTGGTGGCGAGTGCTTGTGGCCAGACTTCCTCTTGCTGTCCTTGACCCTCCTCCTCGTCTCCCACCCCCATCTTGCTTGAGGCAGACACCGCCTATCTCTGTATCTATCTATCTGTGTTCACAGATGTGTCTGTGGGAGACTCTGGTGTTGCTAGTTCAGTTTTCTCCCTCTCTCTCAATTTATGCCCAGACCATGGCACAGGGCTTCCTGGGACATGCTGCAGGAAGTATTTTATTTAAAATATCAACTGATGCCAGAGTCCAAACTAAAAGGGGTTGTGCTCCTCAATCATCAGGCTACTGGTGAGTTTGAAGAGGGAGAAGAAAAATGTCTTCCACTTTTCAGGACAAGGACCCCCACCTCAGCTTCCACCAATGGAACCCAGGTGGGCACTCATTCTCAAGTATTTCCTGTGTCCACAAAAAGGTTCTCCAACACTTTCTTCCCTAACCTAGTGGTTTAATAACATCAACACTAATAGCTAGCGCTCAATGACTAAATGGCAAGCACCATGTTAGTGGTTTACATAGATGATATCATTAACTCTTCCTCTGAGGTAAGAACCATCATCTCCATCTTCGAGTCAGAAATTTGGGCTTACGATAGATCCAATAACTTATTTAAGGACACACTGCTAACAAGTAGTGAGGTCAGAATGCAGGCCTACTTCAGCCTGACCATGAAGCCAGAGCTCTTAAACAAGATGCTACATAAACTTCTTTAACATTGCTTCTTTCTTCCTGAAAATCTATACCCAAGTACATCTGATCAACCTTCCTGGGTCCCTGAAAACCTCCCCTCTCATGAAGGAGGCCACATAGGTCTGTTTGGCCCCAACTGAAATCCCATTACCATTACCTCGCTGGGACTTGATTATGGCATCTTTCCACCTAACTCTCGCCCAGTCAGTCAATAGCAGTGGCAGCTGCCAACACCACTGTCTTTGCCCCTGAAGACATATATGCTCCTGTTGTGTAAGTAAAGCGAAGCTTTGGGTACCATAAGGGAGTTGGGGATCCTCCCTCCCTTCCTCCCTACCTATCCTCGGTCTTGATATGTGGAATGTGGCTGCTTCATCTCCCAAACTGTCCAGGGTCTCAGGTCAACAACATTCAGTGAAGAGAGCTTGCCAAGCACAATAGATTCTAGGATTCTATGAGGAGAGCTACCCAAGACAACAGATCCTGGGAGTTCATGAGGAGAGCCGCTCAGTGCAATGGATCCTGGGATTCTGTGAGGAATTGCTAAACAGAGCAATGGATTCATCTAGCCTTGAACCTCTGAAGGTAAAGGCAACTAAGCTTTTTCAGGAGTTTACTGAAAGAAGGAAGTATGTGTGTATGTAAAGGAGGGAAGGGTGTAGCAGACAAAGAAGAATCCAAGTGGGAAATAGTCTTCAAAGACAGGCGTGAAAAGGTAACTCGAATTGGGCTGTGAGGAGGCAGAGTCTTTGAGAACATGTGGGCATGGATGCAAATGTGCAGAAGCACCAAATCCCAGAAGCCATTTTTCTCTTAGCCTGCTGAACTGAAGGCATGGGGGGGGGGAGGAGCAGAGTACTGTACTTGTCAGGAGTCCTGGGTTTGAGGCCTGCCTCACTCACCAAGTGCAGTGCCCTTGGCGAAGCACTGAAGACTCCATTTCCCAGTCTATAAAGGAGACTGCAAGGTCAGTGATTCAAACCCACCAGTCACTCCTTGGAAACCCTAGATAGGGTCACTATGAGTTGGAACCGATTAACAACACTTAACAACAACAACTGGAACCAAGCTCACTGCATTGTGCTCAGGGGTATATAAGTAGCTATAAAAAGAGGTCATCACAGACTGCAAAGTGCTAACCAGTGACTTTTTAAAAAACACAAATGCTGAGCTTCACCATTGGAGTTCTAAAATAATTGGGCTAGGGTGGCATGCTGACGATGATTTAAAAAGAAAACCAAACACCTAAGGAGATTCTGGCGTCCTGGTGTTGTGGTGCTGTGGGTTAGCGTGCTGGACTGCAAGGTTGGTTTGAACCACAGGGTCGGCGGTTCAGGCTCACCAGCTGCTCCTGGGAAACCTTATGCAGGGTCATTATAAGTTGGAACCGACTTGACAGCACTTAACAACAACAACAAGGAGATTCTACTGTGCAGCCAGTCAGGGTTGAGATCTACCGCTCCAAACAAATGGAAGGTAGTAGTACTATCATCATAGCATCATCTTTGTAAGTATCTCTGTGCTCTGCATGGGGTGGCTCCTGGGAGAACTGCCAGTTTCCCACTCCAGGGAAGTACCCAACATTTTTATTCCGTTTCTCTTCCCAAGTCAGGTTCTGTCTCAGCAGGCAAGCCTGGGGCCGAAGTACACCCAGGGGTCCAGTACAATGACTTGATGTGACTTCACCTCTGGGGTGGGGGTGGGGGTGGGGGGGAGACACTGTGAGTTCTCTCAGGAAAGCACCCAAGAAATTCACTTTGCATTCCAACAAACAAAATCGCTCTTGGTTTAAATTTGAGGAAGCCAGAAAAAAATCTTGGGGATTAAAATCCCTTAGGGAATAAAGAATACGTGGGCTCCTGGTGTGGAGCTATAGGATCAGCACTGGACTGTGAAACACAAGGTCGACAGTTCAAACCCACCAGCTGCTTCTCAGAAACCCTATACAGGGCCTCAAATCAGAACTGACTCGATGGCACTTAACACCAACAGGGAATAAGTGGATGGTCCCCGTCAGGCCCTCCAGTCTACTTGCTCTGTGGACAGTACGTTTATAGAATGTGCTCCCCAGTACATATCAGCCAGATCCCTTGCAGCCAGCAGCTTGGTCTAGACAAAACAAGACAGCAATAAAAACAAGGCAGTAGGTAATGACTGCCTCTGAAATGCATGTACACCTTGTTTCAGACAGAGGTAACGCCACGGGGATAACACACTGGCTCTAAACTGCTAGGAAAACAATGTCCTATCCCCAGAGGGGACTTGAGGGGCTGATAAAGAATGCTTTTGTCTCCAAGAGGAGCATCTCTGGGAAACATACAAAAGTTTAAATTAGATCTGGCAGATGTGTCTGGTCTCCGCTAGGAATGTATTATTCAGAAAGTGACAGTGTGGAGTGGTAGAGATCAGTAAGTTAGCTGACTGTGGCCCTAGACCTTAGCCTGACTTTCCTCCGTGCCAACAGAACCCCAGAATCTACCAAATGTCACCTAGAACAAAAGTCATGGGTCTCTATGAATGAGTTCATATTAAACAGAAACTAAGTTGGCATTTCTCAGCTTTTTCAGCGTAAGTGCTGCAATACTGGGTGGGTGTTGGGCGTGAGGAGGTGGAAGGGGTTACCCGGGCTCTAACTTGGCTGTCCTGGGACTCCTCCTCTGGGAACCTGAATGAAGACTATAGATGGCTGTGTGACATTCCAGCCTGGCAAAAACTCCAAATGCTCTATTGCCTTGTGCCACCCTGTTGACGTCTGGGTGGGTTAAGAATGCTTTTAAAAGGACCAAGTGGCCCCCACCAACTGCCTAGAGTAGAGTTTGGCAAACTCTTGCTGTAATGGACCAGATAGTAAATATTTTAGGCTTTGTGGGACAGACTGTCTTTGTCACAAATATTCAACTGTAGTCATAGACAATGTGCAAACAAATGGGCGTGGCTATATCCCATTCAACTTCACAAAAACACTCTGGCTAGAGCTTACATAGAAGGTAGGAATGATCCCTGTCCTAAAGGACCATCTTTACCTCCTATGTTAGAGTCCTGGTGTGGTGCTATAGGCTCAACACTGACACAAGGTCAGCAGCCCAAACCCACCAGCAGCTCCTTGGAAACCCTATACAGGGCCACTACGGATTGGAACAGACTCCACGGCACTTAACAACAACATGTCCAGGTCAGAAAGGAAAGAATAAAGAGAAGAAATAAGAAAGCAGATTATCATAAGTGAAGGATTCCCCTCATCCAGAAGCCCAGGGGCAGGCTCACACTCATCAGCTTGAGTCCCTGAACTCCAAGGCTGAAGCCCCAGCCTCTATGCAGGCCTTGTGGCTGGTCTTTGAGCACCAGACCCTTTTTACTCCGTAGCATCCTGTATCCAAGTTGTTGTGGGGCTGCTCAATAAAATTGGTGTGCTTCTCCCACTGCCTAAGGAACTCTGGTAGCGTAGTGGTTACGAATTGGGCTGCTAACCTGAAGGTTGGCAATTTGAAACTACCAGCGGTTCCGCGGAAGAAAGATGAGGCGTTCTGCTCCCGCCTTGGAAACCCTATGTAGGGTCACTATGAGTTAGAACCGATTCCACGGTACTTAACAACAACAACAACCAACACCACAACTCAAATGCATCAATTCTACAGTCTTCCTTATTCACTGTCCAACGTTCACATGCATAGAGACCAACATTTATTGAGCCTTTACCAAAAGTCAGACACCTTGCTGAGTGCTTTAAAGGGATTGTCTCAAATCATCCTCACA